GAATAAAAGGTACCCGATCCAGGAACATCTAACATGTGAACATTCGAATGTAATATATTTAATTTCATGCAAGAAATGCCCCAAACAATATGTAGGAGAAACTAAGAATAATTTACGAACTCGTTTTAATGCTCATAGGTCGGATATCAAATTAAAGAAAGACAAGCCTGTTTCTAATCATTTCAACCTCGGCGACCATTCAATAGACGATCTCACCCTAATCCCAATTGAGCGCATAGAAATTGACTTGCCGAAGATGAAACTACCAAATTCCGTCAATCTAGGGAAGCCTATTGGATTGAGACATTGAATACAGCAAGACCTATAGGACTAAATATTCACCATAATGTAGGCATAGCAACTTTTGTTGTCCCATTCAATACAACCAGCAATCGAGCAAGCAAGATAGTTCATGCCCACTATAAGAGCCTTCAGGAGAAATTCCCCCATGTCTATAAGCAGAAAATGATAGTTGCATATTCAAAAAATAAGAACTTAAATGATAATATTGTTCATAGTAAACTAAAAACAATCAGTACATAACAAATACTATACTTCTCGCCCACAATCAGAACAGAAGAAAACCCAATATCAAGACCCTTAATCCTAATTTCTAAATAAAGTGTCTGCTCCACCCTAGGCCTGTACATTTGGGAGAATCAAACCCTCCCTTCCCCGAAATCTAATAGAGAGCACCACTGTACAGAGTAACAATTCACAAAGTTTTCCGACAGGAGACGGGGATACCTAAATTGCCCAGAAGTACTACGAGCTACGGGCCCGGGCAATGCATGCATTATCCATTACTATTATAAATGACTCGTGAGCTTGCATATCAATTGACAGATATCACCTGTTTCCTTTTCACAAAGCTGAATAAAACGAATCTAACTACAATTTTTGGATACTAAAGGGAATCACAATGCGTGACCTTCAGGAACGCACTCCAGACGATCGAGAACTTGAAGTTTTTACATATAGCAACGGCAATTTAGATTCTTCTAATTTCACTACAACCAGCGGTCCAAATGTTAGCAATAAATCTCACAATTCAGTCGAATTATCGGATGGTGTATTGGTCAGCCCCTCTTACCAAGATCAGTCGTCTTCCTATGATGAAAATATAGGGGTGTCGGAACAAGTTTGATGATTTGGGTATTCCTGAATTGGAATGTAGAAATATTGTGGTATCGAAGACAGAAGAAAATTATGTGAATAAGAAAGAAGTGTCGGACGAAACAAGCTCAAATATAAACATCGGTAACTCTCGGGGACATAAGAAGATCTACCTTAAAGATGACTCAAATCATGTCAGTGAAGATGAAAAACTTAAAGTGACACCAAAAACCAAAGAAAAAAATGAAATTGACAAGAATATTGGGCACAAGCAAATCAAAACCGCGGCATCAGCAAATGGTTTTGATAATGCTGCATTTCAAGACGACAACGATTATGATCCGGATAATGGAACAACAGAAAACGTAACTTACCTTAGAACACATTCTAATAATTCAGAGCCGGAAGTGCGTATATATGATACATATGCGACTCAAAAGTAAGTAAATCAGTGGTCTCTTTACGCTGACCAAATTCTCATAGTACATGAACTTTTCGTAACAGTAGTTCAGATAGAGATGACACTTTATACTGTTCGTGGAAAAGGAATACCGATAAAATAGTTGAAACATGCCTTACCGGTCATAATTATAGTTTTTCTACTTTCAGAAGTGCAGTGTACCGGTTTCCGTTGTTTCTGAAAACAGCATTAATGATTGGTAGTTGTTTCATGGCCTCCCTGCCGTTTGGATTTCTTATTGGTTTAGGAGTTTTATTTGTTGAAATTATAGATGAATTTAATTCAACTCGTGCTGAAGCATTTCTTATTATTTCTGTTTATACTGGTTTTGTGTTAGGCGGAGGTGAGAATAGTGTTACACTATATTTCCATTGTTTCCTAGTTTATTCTAAATGTTTATCCACCTCTCGTACAAGGTCTACGTACTTGTATATTGTGAAGACTTGCTTTACCTACTTTGACAATGGTGGTGAGTATTAGAAGCTAAGTTTTT